AAGCAGAAATCAACACCCCCATAGAGTTTCCTCATGAAAAGAGCCAAAGTCAATATTCCCCAGCGGATTTCTCCTCAAAAAATAAAACAGGTATTCCCAGCGGAAACATTCTAAACAAAGTTGAAGATACACCTACTCTCTAACAATAGTTTAGGATTCAGCCTCCCAAGGCTCCCAACATGTTGTCAAGGATTTATTTCCTAGATAAAGACATGCTACAATAAACGCGTCACATTCATAAATCATAACACATACATGACAAATGCATACAACATAATCTCATTTATTTTGAGAACATCATTACGCCATGCATACATTTGCATGCAACTAATCCTCTTCCTTGCAGGAAAAAAATCAACAGGAAAAAGACGTCTACTATTTCAGTATAAATCAACCAAAAGATTTATCCTGATACCTCCCCCAGTCACCCTGAATGGCATCTTTAAGCTCATTCCCTACACAGTCAACTAACATATCATCGAGTGCAAATTTATGGGCACTTTAGTGTTCAATCATCTTCCACCTTCAAGTCACGAACGATGGGCTCGCCAATCTAACTCTTCAGGTTTAAGAAGATTGAACAGGGGAAGTTGTTGTACCCCAAAATTTTCCCTCTCATTTCTCAAGATTTTTCTCACAAGATCTTCCATGACTCAAGTTTGCAGCACTGATACATCAATTTAGGTTTGGAATTGGCACAAGGGAAAAATGGTCAAAATGCACATTGAAAAGTCAAACTTTAAATTTTTTATCAAAATCAAGTTTCAAGAATCATATTTCATCAAGACATGTTAGAATATGAAGTTAGTTCATCAAGAAAATCAAAATTCAAAATTATTTTGGAAAAGTCAAAGTTCTAAACACTTAGAAATTTTTCTAATTGTTAAGAAAATATGATAAGTTCAAAACTTTTGGCCAGATTTTCATCATGATGCAAGATGATTCAGGAAGAACGTCTGACACAGAAGTTATAGATATCAATGAGATCTAAAACATTGCAGAACATGACTCCTCCTAGAAATGCTGGGATTTCAAGTTATAAGTCCTTGAAGACACGTCCATGAAACTAAAACACTTAGTAAATTCTGAACATTTCCAAGTTAGAATTTGACTAGAACTTCTGGGGCAGTTTTCACGTAGGTACAATCAGAGTTTGCAAAGATGATTCAAAGAGGGATTACAAAGTATGTTACAAGTTTTCTAAAAAGTCTGAGAACTTCTTCAGATCATGCTGAAGCAGGGAGAATCAAAGATCAGAAGTTGAACATTTGTTCTTAGTCTAAGTTACGCTTATGCTGAACTTCTGATCCAGTTTCAAGCTATGCTGCATAATCTCATGTTGCAGGCCTTCTTTTTTGTTAAATATCATCATAATTTAATGCTCACACCAACTTTTGAGTCCTTACCCCAGTGTTTAAGCCTTTATCTAAAGGATCTTCCCACGTGTGGCATAAAAGTACCAATGTTGTTCTTGAAAAGCAAACTTTTGTACAAAGTTTATTTTAAACCCATACTTTACTTTGTTTTTGAGTGTACTTCCCCACAAATCATTCCTACAAACTTAGATTAGGCGTGTTTAAAGCTGTTAACCACCCTACCTTTCCCTGAAACCATGCTTGTCTAAACTTGCTTCAAAAACAAGTCAACAATCCATAACACATGATGGTTGTACTCCTGACTTCTCCAAGCTTCTAAATCCTTTGCCTATAAATTAAGCTTCATTTGCAAACTAAAGGAGGATTAAAAAAAGCCCTGAAACCTTGCTGAAAATTCACAAGAACCTGAAACTGCGACACAAACACAAAACCTGCTAGTTTCTGATTTTTGCATTAAAACTCTAATTTTTCTTGTGCTTTTCTTGGCCAAATCATCCACATGGTTTCTAATATACACGTAGAAGCCTTCCCAACTTTTATTTTCAAACTGTAACACAGTCTTCACCACTCTCCATTTCAAAAATCAGAACTTTGCATCTTGACTGCTCCAGAGCATTCTAACCATCCATAACTCAAGTTAAGGGTTGTTTTAGCTTTCTGAGAACTTGAGGAAGCTGACCAGAATATCACAACACTATGAACCAGGCTCTAACTCACAGAACAATTTCCAGATGCAAGGTAAGTTTCTTCTGATTTTCATCTCATTACTTAGGCATTGTTAGGCTTACAATTTCAAAGACACAATGTAGATATCATGGCTCTGAATCTATACATATTTATAGATTTCATTTATATGGCCTAAGTAGAGAGAATTTCAGGTCAGAACTTCTTGAGAAAATTAGGGTTCAGAATTAGAATTAGTAAAATTCATGCTTGCTTCTGGTTTACAGTTTTAATGCTTTGTATTAATAATTTAGCCGGACATAATTAGCTTGAAAGCAATACAATTCAAAATATAATTTATAACAACAATTGGCATAATATAAAAACTGAATAAATATTAATTGCAATAAAAACCTGGAATCAAAGTTGTTATGGTAATCTTGAAGTATTACAATAATCCTTGAGCTTGATTGCAGTAAATGATTCGTGTTAATTCTTGAAGGAAGAATTAACACTTAAAACTAAAAACTAAAACTTGGAATGAAAATTACAGGAACGTGAAAACAATATTCCAAAACAAGGAAATGGAAAATAATTGCAAAAGAATAGTAATATTTGTTCTGAGGAAAATTCTTCGACCCCTGGTACTTTGCACTGGCACACATATATATAACATAGGAAAAACAGCAGTTAAGAAATCTTGAGGAAGTCTTCAATGGAGAGAATATAGGGAGCACTAATAGTGGGTGGCAGGAAAATAGGAGACTCAGCAGGAAGATAGGAGAACGAGTCTGCCCTTCAATGCCCACGTCTCTATCCATGTATAACGTCCACCTTCACGCGCGTGACGGTCGTCACAGGTGGGTGACAGTCGTAACGCGCTGAAGTAGCGCATTACGCTCGTCAGTGATGCGTGACGAGCGTTTCTCCAAGTTGGGGGGCGTTACGCCCGTCACAAGGGTGTGACGACCGTCACTGTTCCAAAAAATCCAAACTTTGTACTTTTTTATTCTTTTTCTCTTCGTTTATTGTCTAGCCTTCTTCATGTTGTCCTTTTCCATCGGTTTGAGTCGACAAATGTTATACCTGTAAAAAGACAAATAATCTCGGAATAATCGGGGGTTAGACGACTTAATGAAATATAAAATCGGTAAAAAGCATGGTAATTATATGATATATTTTCTCGTTATCAGACATCTTGATTATGAACTAAAAACTTCTCAGAGTCTGAATCCAAAAGTTAGATAAAAGCCTTGTATAATACATCCAGATTTTGACTTTAATCAGAGTTCATAATTTCTGAAAAAGAAAACAATTCTAACAGAAACAGAATTTTAACTGGTTTAGAATGTAAGCAGCTCTTTTCAGAGACGTTTTCCAGAATTTGATTATCAGAATCAAAATATTACTTTCAGTTATTTACTCCCCCTTTTTGTCATAATCAAAAAGGTAATTATGTGTGAAAAACATTAAAATAGAAGAAATAACAAGTAAAGATTTGAAGCAAAAATAAACTTGAATTTAGTTCAAAAGATCATGTCAGAAAAGAAAACATAAGAAGCAAAACATAAGAAGCAAGTAGTTCTCTAAGGTTTAGAAGCAAAAGGGAAAATAAAATCTTAAGGGCCTAGGGTCCAGATGCAGAAGGTGTTGGAGAAGATATCTTCTCAAGAATTAGCTGCAACATATTCTGATATTCTCGTTGACAACCTTTTGTTGATAATGATCTCTCTGAAGACATGTTCTTCTTCTCTGATTTCCCCAATTGCTGTTTCCAGACGTACAATGGCAAGATCAGAAGAAGATACTACACAAGCATCTGCTTCAACCATTCCATCTCTCATTATAATCATTCCATCGGAACCTATCCAAACTTTCACATCTCCAATAACCTCGTCTCAATCACTCACAGAAACTCCTCATTTTTCAAGTTTTGATAACAACCTTCATTTTTCCTTTGTGTGGTGGTGGCAGGTTCAGATTCAGAAATGATCGTGGTTGGTGGTGAAACAGACACATTTGTGGTTAACAAATTTTTTGTTGAAATAACATTAGATACACGTGAGATATTGGTAATAGGAATAGAAATAGAAGTGGTGATTTTAGGTGGTGGAAGGGAAAAGGTTGTAAAAGAGGATGTTTGTGAGATGGAGGTGGGAATGGATGAAACAACATTAATAATATTAGAAATAATAACAGAAACAGGAGTAGCAGAACCAGAGGCAATAGACTTACTTGTAGATTCAGAAGTTCTAGTACCCAGAATAACAACTTTAAGAAAATCAGACTTCTTCCTCTTCTTCTTCTTCTTAGGTTCAGAAGTTTCTGAATTATTCTTCCTTTTTCCTTTGAAACAATCAACACCCTCAGCAGGCAGGTATGAGTAATTGAAACAGGACATATCATGTTCTTCTGCTTACATCATCATAACATAGGCAGCAACGCTAGATACATGATCTTTCTTCGAGAACAGAGGATAATTGTCTACATGAATTCTTCCGTGATGTATACTTTCAGAAGGCTCAATCCGAGGCTGGACACTGAGTTCTTCTATTAGCCTCACGTTCTTTAGAGTTTGTCCATTGAAAGAATCTCCAATGCTTGGAGCCAGTTCCTCTGTGTAATTGGCTTCTTCAACTAAAAACTTCACTAAGTCACTTTCCACAAAAATCAATCTATATTAGCAAAAAAAGGAAAAAAAAGGATTTCCTTCCATATAAATGTAGAATGGAATTCATATAAAAAATTCCTTAGCTGTCAAAACAACAAAAAATAGTAGAGTCGGTTTGTATCCACAACAGGTTCATGTGCAGAAGAAAATATTAGAATCATTTTCAGATATTTTCCTTTAATTCCATTAATTACACAGTACGAGATTTCTCTAAATGTATATTAAATAAAAGGAGTATGAAGTTAATGATTGAGTTGGACTTGAACTAGTACCACTTTTCTTGATCATCAATGGAGAGACAGGGAAGTTTGTGTCTGAAAGTCAAACCCACCCGACTCTTACTCTTTTCATTCACTCTCTTTTCTTCTATCTTCTTCCTTTCATTTTTCACCATCTCCCTCTCCAACTCTTCACCACACACTCTTTCACCCATCTCCCTCTCCAACTCTTCACCAAACACTCTTTCACCCATCTCCCTCTCCAACTCTTCACCAAACACTCTTTCTCTCAATCTTCAACCCATCTCCCTCTCCGACTCTTCACCAAACACTCTTTCTCTTCACTCCTTCACCCATAACAACTTCACTCCTGCTAATTTCTCTTTTTTAATCGATAACCGTCTTTCCAGAACCCTCAACAGATCCAAAGATGAAGTGAAGATGGTGAAAGGGTGTGATTTGAGTAATGGGCATTGGGTTTTTGATGAAAGGTATCCTCTTTATGCTACAGATTCTTGTCCTTTTGTTGACGAAGCTTTTGATTGTCAGGGGAATGGAAGATTCGATAGCAATTTTACCAAGTGGAGATGGCAACCTCAACATTGTCACTTTCCAAGGTACTTCCATATTCAATCTTTTCCAACACTCTACTTTTCTCTTTTTTTCTCACTACTGTTTTTATTTTTCTCTCATAGGTTCAATGCAACAGAAATGTTGGAGTTGATAAGAGGGAAAAGACTAGTTTTTGTGGGTGATTCTATTAACAGGAACCAGTGGGAATCAATGCTATGCATGTTATTGAGTGCTGTTAAGGATCCAAAGAGGGTGTTTGAGGCACGCGGAAGGAAAATTGTCAAAGAGAAAGGGAATTATAGTTTCAGGTTTCTGGTAATTCTGCACAACCCTACTGTTTTCCTAATGTATAATCATGATCTTTACTTTTTCTTTCAATCTTGTAGGATTATCAATGTACTGTTGAGTACTATGTAAGTCATTTCTTAGTTCATGAAAGCAAGGCAAGAGTAGGCCAGAAACGAAGACCAACTCTGCGGATTGATGCCATTGATCACGGTTCCTCCAGATGGAGAGGAGCTCATATTTTGGTTTTCAACACAGCTCATTGGTGGTCTCATTACAAAACCAAAGCAGGGTTAGTACCTCTCTTGAATTGTATTCTACTACAAATATTGGTTTCTTTTAAACATTCTGAATCACAGACACACCAGAAACACGACACTCACACTAACACGTTAGCACCACTTTGAAACATAATCACAGGTGTCGGCGTCGGTTTCGGACACAGACACTAACACAGACACACTTTTTTTGAGTGGTGTTGGTGCTACAGTCCTAGCTTTTGTGTCAACTAACACATGGTTGTATAACAGGATATATTACTATCAAGAAGGAACTATGGTTCATCCCCGGCTAAATGTTTCTACCGCGTTTCGTAAAGCTTTAACGACTTGGGCCTCATGGGTGGACAAACACATAAATTCTAAGAAAACACAAGTTTTCTTTCGAACTTCAGCGCCATCTCATTTCAGGTCCGTTTCTGATATTCACTCTGCAAAGGTTTTTCGTTGATTAAACTGTTGTCATCGAGAATCATAAAAACTTGTTCAAATTCTGCTACGCTATAGCGCTTTACCTAGCACTGCTATTAGACAACACTTTGTACTAGATCACGTATTGCAGAACAATGACTATTTGATCAAGTTCAGCCATGCGAAAACATTACAGACATTACTGGTTGATTAGTTACTGACTTTGAGATAGTGTTCAACAGGGGAGGTAATTGGAATTCAGGAGGACATTGCACGGAGGCGACTCATCCTCTTAAAGAAACCTTAAACACAACTTATCCGGAGAAGAATGTAATCGTAGAAGAAATCATAAAGCGAATGAAAACTCCTGTGACATTGTTGAATATAACTAGTTTGTCAGAATTTAGGATAGATGGTCACCCATCGATTTATGGGAGAAAAACTCGATCAACGAGAATTCAAGATTGTAGTCATTGGTGTCTCCCAGGGGTTCCAGATACATGGAATGAGATGTTATTTTTTCATTTACAAAGTAGATTAGAGTGAACTGTTTGAAACTTGTATCATCATTTTTTCTGCAACTGTGTATATGTAGCTTTTGAAAGTTTCCACTAGTTCATGAAGTTGAATGATTTTATGCACTTGTTCTTTTTTTTTAGCATAATGCAATTGCATTGTAAATACTCTTAATGTGAAGGAAGATTAGAGCCGATCCGAACCAATGTGTTTAGAGGTCTAAAATATGTTTTATTGTGAGATCTTAAAAGAATAATTCAAGACTTGTTAAAATAAGTTGGACAATTATTTGTTAATAATGTGTCATTTTCTGGTGGGAACAATGTTTGGTCAATGTTCATATATCAGTTCTGGATTAATAGGGTCTCATTTTTCTAAGAACCAAAATACAAAAAAAAAAAAAAGAAGGTGTCATTTGTAGTGTTTTAAAAAGCGAATCGGTCAAACTGGTAACAGAGAGGTCATTGGTTTGGTCAGATTGCTGGACCGAATATGCTATTAAACTGGTGGGAACCGGCCAAAATCGGTGAATCGACGGTATTCGAAAACCAGCCGTTCAAATTCATGTTTTTTTTTCTCGGACAAAACTACGCGTTTTCATAATTTTTAAAAAATATAATTAAACTTATTCAAAATTTATTTTGAACAATTTTTTCTTGTTTGCAATTAGATCTTATTCAAAATTTATTTAAATTTGTATTTTGTATTATTTTGTTGAGTGATGATTATATTTAGAATTTGAATTTAAAGAATCAACATGTAAAATTATGATATTTTGAAAATTTGAAATTTTGTAAGTGTTGTGATATTTTTTTAAAGATTGAGTAATCCAGTTCGATCGATTTAATAAATATATAGTTTTGTTATAAAGACGGATTTATTCAACCGAGTTAGCTGGTTTAATCTAGTATTAATCATGTAGTTCAACCAGTGACCCAATGGTTCGATCAATGAAACGGTGACCCAGTACCTTTATCGATTTGGTGACGGATTCGATTTTTAAAACATTGGTCATTTGTTTATTTATAATTAAATTCATTTTTTAAAAAAATTCTTTGGCCTAAAACTCTAGTTTGTCGCATGGTTCTTTAGGGGACACTAATGAATAGCAATTTCTCTTTACGCTCTTATACATTTTCTAAGGCCTCCAACAAAATGTTAAAAATACTTTTTGTTTTTGGAGATATATCTCCGGACGCACCAAATTCTATTTTTTACTAAATTAAATTTGGAGATGTAAATGCAGATTCTTTTTTAGAGTGTGTTTGGAGGCATATCTCCCGACATGTTTGGTTCTAGAAAACTCAAACAGAAACATGACAAAACTAAATTCAATTTCATTAAATAAAAATCAACACCAACATCAACATTACATTAGATAAAAGCATTCATTACATAGATAGTCATTAAAATAAATTCAATATTGCATATTGTTTTGATCGGAACGTTGCAACATAATGATTATATTCTCGAATGATCTTTGAATCTTCGCATCAACTTCAATCAGACTCTTTAAATCTTTAAATCTTCATTTGTCTTTAGTTCAAAGTTGGTGAAATAGAACTTCCCTTTGCTTTCAAATGAGGGTGACCGATACTCGAACTTGACAACTCTACGATTTTCTGGAAAGCGAAGGAGAGTATTCAGTTTGGATATCAGATCTGTGAGGGATGTTTTCTCGGTGACCCTAAACGGAAGTGGAAACTTCTTGCCATTGACATACACAAATGTAAGGTGGGGATATGAATTCATTCTTTGATTTTAGTGTGTTGTGTAGCAAATAAGAATTGAGACACACCTTATTTATACAAGTATTGAGTCATTTTGAACCTCAAAAACCTTATCATGTATCAAGTAACTTTTCGAGAATACATCTCCGAATAAACCACACCTTTTATAACAAAAAAGGTAACTTTGGAGATGCATATCCGAAAATTTGAATGAGTTTAATTTTATATATATATATATATATATATATATATATATATATATATATATATATATATATATATATATATATATATATATATATATATATATATATATATATATATATATATATATATATATATATATATATATATATATATATATATATATATATATATATATATATATATCCGAAAACTTAACTGAATCAGAAAAAAAAACAAAAAACTTTGTAAACAAGCACATGCAATGTAAATCAAAAGTAAATCATAAAATAACTATGTATTAAATCGTGTTTTGTTCACCCCGTCCCAATCTCTATAGAAATCACTCTTACTATCACCCAACCATTTCTTCTATGTCGAATGTGCTGATTCGACTCTGTTAGTTGTTGTATTACCTTGGTGTCTTACCTAATCAATCCATGCACAAACAATTTTCTTTCTCACTTGGTACATTATAGTACTCTCAATATATTTCAAGAAGTCTAGATATCGGACACACAAACTCCTAAATTGTATCACAGAGGCAACATACAATTTTTCTGTGGATGAATTTAATATACCAGTCTATACATTCATAATCTTTTCCACCACCACACTTGGTTTGACCATTTTTACGTCTTCACCCTTGATTTGTTTGGCGCCTATTGCAGGTTTGAGTCAACTCCTCACATTTTTTGTAATGTCATGTCAATAAGTAATATGTAAGATGTAGGAAACACCTTTGTAACCAAATTCATCAGTGCGGTGTCTCGATCAATGACAATTACCTTAGACATGTTTTATTGGTTCTTCAACAAAGTCTTACACACTTCCAAAGCCCATGTAACATTGACCTCTTTTTCGAATTCCAAAAATGCAAATTCCACTGAAAAATATTCTCTGTAGAAGTAGCACCAACAATTTCAAGAAGCGAAAACCTATACTTGTTGGTCTTGTATGTTTCATCGATAATGAGGATAGTAGGAAATGAGTTGAACAATTAATAATTTTGGGATGAGTCCATAATATGTCACAAACAATGAGTTTATCATCATACACTGTGTATCTATAAATATAGTGGTTTTTATCCTAAAATTTCAAAAGTTGTTGCATTTAGGATCTTAGACCCCTTACCACCTGTTGTTTTAGTGATGCACATTATATACCTCCTTTATATTTGAAATACTTTCTGGGTGTTTCTATTTTAAATATGCTAGTATATTTTTCAGCGTCACTCTGATTATAGACATGTTCAAAATAATTTCCTTCTTTTCCAGTTTAAGATGACATACGATGGGATGGTTGACTAGCTTTGTTTGCAAGGCATGGTTATGTTTTCCAGAAATCACATTAAATTTCCTTATCTTATCCACGTTACAATATCCATGCAATTTAAACGAACAACCACATTTTCTCATTCTGGTGTCATCACATTTCAACTTCTGAATCGGGGGAACATATGTGACACTTCTCTCGTATCTCATGGTTACAAATGCTTGTCTTCTATTTGATCCATTTTCGTACCTTCCGATTACAATGTCAAACCCCAAATTTATGGCTACCATACAAACCCATTGAAGTATATATTCGCGAGCAGTAAACAATTGTTCATTTATGAAACATTGACAAACATCTATATCGACAAGAATCAGTTTAACATCATCCTTCACTTCTTCCGGTTTAACATCATGTTTCACTTCAGTTGGTTTAATATTATCCTTTTTTACATTCTATTTTACATCATTACGTATAATAACTTTGGGAAAATATCTAGGTGAACCATATCTAATAAGAACCAAAACAGGAAAATGTTTAAAAACCAGTAACAGAAGATTTCAGATATACACATCTGAAATTATGGTAGGTGAATTCAGATATTGTATATCCGGACAAATCACATTTTTTTCAGCTCAAACTCAATATTAATGCAAGCAAGAGGGATGAAATGAGGGAACTTTACTTTAAATTGCAATTTATTTTACTCCTTTTGATGTGATAAAATGCAAGAAATCTGATTTGGAATCGAAAAGTTGATTGATAATGATTTTTTACGTTTTTTTTTGGTTATGAAGGAGTTTGAAGAGTGAGGAAGATGATCATTTATCAGTGATTTTTACACAATTATTTACCATTGATTTTAGTTATCTTATCTTTTTATTTTCGAGTATTTTATTTCATTTTACCACTTTTTATGCGTTGTTTGTGTGTTATACTATTTTCAGGTTTAAAGGAATAAATCGGGACAAAGTAGTGCAAAATTCAGAGTTTCGGGAGAAATGCAAAAATCACGTTTCAGGAGGCCTGACACGGGTGGCCGTGTCAGGAGTAATACCTTGGACGAGTTGAAGAAGCATAGAAGTCAAGGGTGCAATACGGGAGGCTGTGTCTCTTGACACGGGCTGTGTTGCACGTCATGGGGCTTGAAAAATAAAATGAAAAACCAAGAGGCCAACATGGGCGGTCCTGTTACCTGACACAAGTCGTGTTGGCCTGTGACACTGATTTCCTGACTTTTTTCTATTTTGCCCATATGTTAAGTTGTGGAGGCATTTTGGGTACTTCCAACCGATCAAAATGAATAGTAACTATTTAGATGAATTTTCAAAAGGAATTAGGGGACTTTTTTCCAGCAAAGAATAATTTACAAGATTGGAGAGATCAAGGTTCTTGAAGGGCGGAATATTTTCATGAGCGGAAGCAATTGAAGATCAAAGTTATCCAAATACCTGTAATATCTAGTTTTTATCTTGTAGTTATTTTGAAAAAAAAATGAGTAGCTAAACCCCTCAATGCTAGGGGATGTCGTTGTTTTGTCTTTATAATGAATTGAAATCTTTGATTGCAATACAATATATTCTTTTCAATTTAATCGTTCAATGTTTTTAAGGCTTTACTGATCGAATCAATTAGGATTGATTTACGATTAACAATTAGGGTTGGACCACCATTGTTAAGGTTTTGTACGATTAAACTATATTTGATATCACCTAGGACTAGGGATACCATATAGTTACCAGGTAAAATCTTGATAAAATAAATGCTTCGTTTCATTATAATTCTCTAAAGACCTAGGTATTAGGATAAATGGCCAAAGATTTTCCCACTAAGGACTTCGGG